CTACTGGGTTACACAATGTTACCAATCGAGTAAAAAAAAAAAAGGTTACCATAAGGTGAGAAATTATTTTGTTTACCATCTCTCCAATGTCTAACCAATAGCGTTAATGATCTGAATATAACTTTTCCGCGATATAATTAACGCAACAACATGCCGTCAGAAGTGGAGCTAATGCACATAAGAATGATGGCTGCCATCCGGTTTTACAGAAGAAGACGCGGCTCAAACTACCGCACCTCTGTGTGTTAATGAGAGGCAAGTGCGCGTGCCACAGAGCTTGGTGGCCTGTCCAGGTTGACAATTTACTTTCTGGACTAGTCGAGGCTCCTCTCCTTTGCTCAGGTCCGCTGTACACACTCAGTAAATCAGAATCTGAAAAATCGGTTAGCTGTGGTAGTGTGACGATTTCACATACTTTTGGGCATAATTGCTTTGAGTCTGTGAAGACCTTGGTATGAGTAAATAAATATAAAGTACCTCTGCATCATAGCCAAGGCTAGTTAAGCTGCAAGCCTGTTAGCCTTACTATGTTAAATGATAATTTAACTATGTTATTTAACATTAACATTCAGCTTACTGTTGACAATATTGTATATCTAGATAATGAACTGGATATTTCTCAGTCTTGTTAAACTTGTAAAGGTGTCAGATAAGGTGTCACTTTTGATTGCGACACAGATCTAGAGTTAGAATGTTCCTACCCATGACCCAACATGATGTTTGTTCCTGTCCTCAGGTAAAGGTGCAATTGCCAGGAACATACAACAGAATCATGGAGGGATTGGATGATGTTACAGTATCCATTCTAAATGGTATGATGATATTGAAATTTGAAAAAAACTACACTTATGTTAATTGTCATCTAACTGAATAGCTTTGGGTGCATGCTGACACTGGCTTCAAAGACTAATTTCATTTAACTAGTTTTGTAACACCAAAATATCTACATTTTATATTTAATAATATATTTAAAATGTTATAGTTCTATTTACATTTATTAGTAGGTGGAAGATGAAATGCCAAGAGGACAATTTGGATTTTAGTTGCCCTGTCAAATTCAATATTGATAATATATGAAGTTAAAGTGATATACAAGTTTTTAATTCTAGAGTTTTTTAACGATTATCTGTGTTTACAGCTGCCAACATAGATAATGTCTTGCTCCACACCCTCAGTCGTGATGATTTAAGAGACCTTTTTCCCGGGCCAGAAAACTTTCTCAGGAGGAGACAGTTGTGGACTTTCTTTCACAAAGAGGCAAGTTTGGATCTGAAAACATTTTGTTTGAAACTCTTGTAGTGGTTATGTTTTGATTGTCTCTCTTAGGATGAGAATCCCTCCTTAACAGACAAAGCTGGTCCTGAGGAAACAGGAACTGTGTTTTCACCTCAAGGAACACCACCATCTCCCCAGAGATTTACTCCTTTGATAAAGAAAACCCAAGAGAAGACCCTACAGCTTCCCAGTCCTCCTGAATATGTGATCTATACAGACAGTGAGTTGGAATTGGCTCATAAGCACTATTTTGAGATGGCCCGCACTGGTAGAGAGGGGGAAACTTGCATGTCGAAAGAGTTGAGATGCAGGCTGGTGAGGAACACTGTCACCAGCATGATTTCAATCTTGAGGGCAAGTCAGCAAGGAGAAGAGTTCCGGTACCCTTCCAAGCACGAAGTTACTGCCATGGCTAAGAAACTAGTGGAGTATTATCCCATGCTACGTGACAAAGATTTACATACCAAACATGTATGTGATCAAATTTTATTATCATGGTGTAAAATTAGATATTTGTATATATGAATTCGGTATTATACTAAAGTTTAATTTTTGAAAAAATTTTAATCACTACAGACGAGCATGTACAGTTACCTTCAGAAGAGGATTCTGAATTTAAAGTCCCCTCGAAAGAGGCAGGGGCCCACACCAGAGAGGGGCCATTCAAACAAAAGGCGTCACATTGAGTTCTCACCAAGTGACCAGGGAGAAGAGTATGATGGTGATTCAAGTGGTGGATCAACAGTTCTTTTGCCACCAGGGAGCAGTTTTGATGGAGAGATTTCGTGTAAGTTAAAAATTACAATTAATTGTAGTTATGGCAATAACGATGGACATGAATTTTATGGTAGTTTTGGATATCATGATATATTGCACATATTGATACTTTACATTTAAGCTGAGATTAGATTTAGATATATTTGTGATGTGACAGATGATTTTTCATTTTACATTTATTTGACTTTCTGTAGAATAAACATGATAAATGTATAACACTCATAGGATGTTATGCTTGCTGGTATCATTTAGGTTGATATGTTGGATCCAGTTACTGATTTGTATTTTCCCTTTTAGTTGACATGGATAGTTGCGCAACACAGGCCAGACATTACAAGACTCTGCAGGAGATTTATAAGAAGCCAAAACCCAACCAAGATGCTGTCTGCCAACTCCTTGACCTTGAGTTTCAGTCAAGAAGAGCCTTCATTGATGGAGATGTACTGAAAGAAGAGGATAGGCCAACAAAGATTCTGGAGGCATATCCATGTTTCAAGGAGCTTCACAATGTACAGTAAGAGATTTAGTTTTTATTGTGACTTCACCACAAAGCAAGCTCTGTTTCGGGTTTTAATGCTTACTTGCAAAATAGGTAATGGATGAGCTGCGGCGGATCCTGGATAAGGGCAACAGCAAATTCATAGCTGAAGTAAAGAAGAGATGGGAAGACTTCTGCTCCATGGTACAGTTTTATGGTGTTTGGAAGAAGGTGTTGAAACCACTTATGAACCTGGGTAAAGGTTAGTGCTTTTATCTTCGCTAGCTGTTTTCACAGACATGAGTATAAATATGATTGTGTATGTTGTCGACACTGATGAAATAAAACCAGAATAATTGTACTGTTTGTGATGACACAGAACTTTCTGTGACCTCAAGATTAAGTGGTTAATCAAATTTAGGCAGGATAACCTTGAACTAAAAGTTGATTTATTCTGTTCCAGTGGAATACAACATAGCCCTGTTCAGGGCACTTCCCACACTCTTCCCCTCACCAGCTGTGCCACCTAAGAA